CCCCAAAACCCCAAAACCCCAAAACCCCAAAACCCCAAAACCCCATTATTTTATTTTAATATTGAGAATATATATTTAACTAATATTCCTAGCAATTGATGTTTCAAAGAAAGAATCTACAAAGTAAGGGAAATATCAAAGAAAGGGCACATTAAGGTCTTAAAATTTTACTAAAGTTTATCAGACTTCTCTCTCTAGAGCAAGAGTCTTGGAAGTCGACTTGGAGGGGATTTTGCAGTCCTCTGGAACTGCATTCTCTTATTCATCATGTTAACTCTAAAGTCTCTGAGTATTTGCATTTCTTTCTTCATAGTCTGAGAATAGATCTTTATATACCTATTATTTGAGGCTGGCATGAAAGATCCCTGAGGAGAGAACTCAGCTCTATCTCCTTCATCGATAGTTTTATTTTTAGGAATATATTTTTCAGGATGGTTAAAGTCAATATAAGAATTCTGTTGCTCAACTTGAGATTGCCCAAATTTTTGTAATGGAGATAAAGAAGCAGGATTCATTCGTGATTTTTGAGAAAGCTCTCCATTAAGCTTAACTTGCCTCCCTCTTTTAGATATTCTAAATATCCTTTTTGATTTATTTGGATTAGTTCTACTATGCATTATATTTCGAGAATATGCTCTTTTAACGCTTTCGATGTTTGATTGCGGACTCATAGCCCCAGAACGAGGAATTTGGACCTTTGCCTGGAAGTTACTCATTTTACTTCCAGGGTTTGCCTTAAGCTTTATTTGAGTAATTCCGTTATTAATTCGTCTTATGTGAGAAAGATTGCTCATTCTCTTTTGATTTACTTTCATCAGACTTTGTTGTCTGTGTTCGAAAATAGAAGATTTTTTATTTATTCTTCATATAAAATTGAGGAGGCATGGCAGCATTTTGAGCTGGAGGAGTGTCATCTTCAAAGAATTCTTCTATGTTATCTCCTATTATAAGTGGAACCCCAGTCTATGTATAAAATCTTTAAGATACCTTTTCTTTAGTATTGCACACCATGACTGATTTATTGGTAAGCTCATCAATGTAAGAGTGAGCGATCTTTTTCTCACTCTCTGTCAAACTTAAATTAGAAGTATCTTGAGATCTTCTCACTTTAGGAGTAAGATTATCATCTTTATTATCTGTAAAGATTTCTTTCTGTGGAACAAAAGTATTATTATTAGGAAGTTTTTCCTGTATTTCTTCAGGAGTTTCTTGTTCTTGAGCAACTTTCTGTCCAGTTGTCAATTTTTCTTCTTCAATCTCTTCATCATTTTCATCTAGATCAGTGTTTGACTGGCCTTTTAAGCTCTTAGGTGAGAGTTCAGAAGTTTTTGGTGAGATCTGTTCTTTTATTTCTTCTTGAAAATTTTCTTCCTTATTTTCAAATTCTTCATTACTGGTCTTCTTACTAGATTCACTTTGATTATCACCTAAGGGTGTTTCAATCTCTTTAATTGCACTCTGAATAAATTCCTCTTTTTGTTCACTCTGTGAAGCTTCGCTCAAGTCTCTGTTTTCTGGCTGTTCCTGGCTTGGCTCATCACTAGCCTCATCTTTTGACCCAGCTTTAGTAATATCAACTTCTCTTTGTTCTCGGTTTCTATACTCTCAACATAATATTCTTACCTCTCAGTGTTAATTGTTACACTAAGCTTTTGTGAACCTTTGAGTTGTTCGTTGCTCTGGAAATTTCTATCTATGAAACCATCTTTCTCTTCTTCTCTTAGTTCTCGAAGAATATTATTTTCAGCCTTGACCAAGATTGCTTCGAGGTAATCTTTGATCTGTGACTGCATTTGAGAGGTTAGTTGGTTTTCAGGATCACTATCTTCTTCCTCAATCTTTGCATCACGGTCTCAAATCAAACAAGAAGAATTTCGTATTTTATCAAGGCTATAATTAGAAATGCTCGCTGAAAGGTAGTCTTTCACTACTTCTCGAATCATGCTCCAGTCTGAGGAGTTTAGATTGTTCACTTTCTCAGAAGTACTGCTGTTACTTCGAGGAGAGCAATTCGGGTTATATCAATCATAATATTCTTGTACTTTTTGTTTTATGAAATTCTGATCTTCGTTAGGCAGATTTCTGAATTTCTCAGAAGTGCTACTGTCGCTCTGAAAAGAGCATCTTAGGTTGTATCAATCGTAATATTCTTGCACTTTTTGTTTTATCAAATTCAGATCTCCACTAGGCAGGTTTCTGAATTTCTCAGAAGTACTACTGTCGCTTGGAAAAGAGCATCTTGGATCATATCACTCATAATATTCTTTCACTTTTTGTTTTATCAAATTCATATCTCCACTAGGCAGATTTCTGAATTTCTCAGAAGTACTACTAAAGCTAGAGCGGGCTATTTGCTGTTCCTCATCACAATTTGACTTTAGGGATGGAGTTTTATGCGAAAGTGTCTTAGGTTCAGAATCATTAGAAATACCCTGAATGGTTTTAGTCTCCTCTGGTCGAGCCTTTGTTGAACCATTCATCATTTCTTCAAAAGCCACAAAATATGAGTTTACTTGTTCTTGTATAAACCTACTGTCATCTTTCAGAAGCTCTCTAGCTTTATTTTGAAATATCCTGACTTTTGAGTAAAATGCTTTTTGTGAGCATTAAGTCAGTTCAATTATTTTTCTGGCTACAAAGCTGTTGAGAATTATTACTATCTCAAGATACTTTGACACTATTTTCGAGTTTATTCCCTAAGATAGTATTGACATAGTTAGAGATCATATTTAGACAGCCACGAGACAGTCTCCTATATTCTTTGGAAGTGCTTCAAGAAGGAGTACTTGCTCTGCTCAAAAGTGGTACACTACCTTTTGATTCAATTTCTTCTAAGCCTAATCTACCTTCTTTACTGTCGTACATGAGATCTACAAGCGCCTCTCCAAAATTACTGCCTATGTTGCTCATCCAAAACAGCTCCATTTCACTCCTTTTCGATGCATTTTTAATGTTTATTGATTTAGGAGTGCTTATTGCTCTTGATATTCTAAGCGAAGGGGAATTTAGCAGACTTGCTTGAGAACCCATATAGAATCTAGACACAGGGGATCTTAGATCTTTTCTGCTATTTTCTTGAGAAGCCATTTCCTTAACAATTATTATACAATTATTGATATACCCTAGGGGTTTTGGGGTTTTGGGGTTTTGGGGTTTTGGGGTTTTGGGGTTTTGGGG